CAAAAAAGAACAGAGTTGCCAGAACAAACTTCATACCTGATAAAATTGAGGAATTGAGGAAGGGTGTTGTGAATAGCCTTCCACGGTGCTGCTAGGTTAGCTTGCCTCRATACACYAGCATCCCATCCATTCTCTGACCTCCCATGAATGCTTCCCACCACCTCATRCCACAATCTCTCTCTTTCCAAAGGCCATCTCCACAACCATCTCCACAACCATGCCACAATTATTTTTGCCTTTTCCCCATTGCATTTCTGCCAATCTATCCGTGCAGTTTGAATTTATAACTTTGTTTCCAACTGATGTTGTTCGTTCCACTTTTTTGTGCAGAAATAACAAAGGATGGCATGTTTTCTGTTGGGGAAATGGAGTGCATGGTGAGTCTCCCTGCTTTAATTCCAAGTATACTTAGGAACAGATTGACTGGCAGCTATAACAATAATTGGTCTAAATTTGGATATCAATAGCTTGCAGATTTTTTTTTGATATCTTTTGAAGGGCTACACAACAGGGGGTAGCCCATCCTCCAACCCAGGTGCAGGTGGGATTCGACCCCAAGTCTCTGCTAGGAGCAGCAGGAGACTTACCAACTAGCTGGTTGGCACCTTTGGAGTAGCTTACAGAATATTAGATTTTACATGTTTTTACCATTTGCATTAGTAAGAAATGATTTAAGTGCCAGCAATTTAACAATTGATATGACATTAAACAGAATGGATTGGCGAAACAGGATTCATGTCACTGACCCCATATAGTTGGGATGATGACGACGATGACATGTTTTTACCATTTGACTCTATTTAACTGGTTTGGCATAAATTCAATTTGATGAGTGCATAACACTAGTGGTCTTCTGCAGGGATGTTGTGTAAATGCTCCAATGATTACAGTGGCTGACTATTCCAAGGGTTCAGAAGGGTACACCTATAATTATTATGTGAGTCCATTAATCTATTTCTGTTTTATGGTTTTGTGATTTTGAATCTTTAAGTGAATGATTGTGCCCATGGAATTGTATTCATCATATTTTTTTTTCTGATTTTATTCAGGAAGATGTCACTCCAAAGCGGGTAGTTGAGATTGTTGAGATGTTAAGAAGGGGGGAAACTCCACCAGTAAGGCTCTGTTAAATTGGAGGCTTATTTATCTGGCCTACAGCATGATCAGTCATAACTAACTGTTGGATTTTTGTTCTGTATTGCAGGTTGGCACGCAGAATCCTCTGCGCATAAAGAGTGGACCAGAAGGAGGGAACACAACTTTGCTAGGTGAGCCAAAGCCTCCCCCATGCAGGGACCTTGATGCCTGCTAAATTCTAAGATGAAAAAAGTTTTTTTTTTTCTCCTTCAATAATGCAAAATTTGGATATTCCTTGGCATCTCTGTGGCAGAAGCTCTTATCTTTGTTTTATGCTTAACCATGAAGCTGTTCTCTAGTCTCTACCAGTATAGTTTCCACCGGAGATTAATTTGGTTTAATCCATTTTCTGTTCGATCGTGAGTTCCAACTTACAACTTCATTTGTTCACTTGTACTGATAATTTATATGGAAACTGTTTATTGATTCCCTTGAACTTTAAAACGGAGATCCGAAAAGGTGGAAAAAGAAATGACCCTCCCCCAGGACCCCCACTTCTAATAGTACGTATCGATTATATAGATGACCGACACCGATCTTGAGAGATCAGGGCTTGTACTTACTATAGGAGTGACGTGCCAACCACAAAAGAAGATTGATATCTTGGATAAATTCAACTAAAATTGATTTTACAAAGCAAACTAAGACGCTTGATAGTTGATACCATCAATATGCGTTTTGATGGAACTCTTGCATGAATCTATTTGTGGTCAACGGTTTGCTGCCATTCAGATTCAGGTGCACCTTGGTCCTGCACTCCTGCCTTTGTCCCGGTGGCATAAATTGCACCAAACCACTGATATAATCATATAAATCATTAATTTGTCACGTAATCTTAAGTCAACAATAGGGCATTGACTTGTCTTAGATACGGCTTTTCTCTGACCTCTCTCTAAATTTGAGATGCAGGCTACCAGTTAGACTGGTTCCTATTCAAGTTCCCTAGATCTAAGATTTCCAACTTCCCAGTTCCAACTCATGGATTGTAAAATACTTAATTTTGGTAGCTTCCAAGTTCTCTTCACTGTCATTAGTTTTTATGAGGTCCCAATTCCTTTAATCAAGCAGTAATTCTTTAGCATTTAGCTTGTTGTCGTGTTAGTTGATTCTTAGGATTCAAATTTATGGGCTTGGATCTACTGCCCACAAGCTGTTCTCACATCACTACCCATGGAACATTACAGCTGTGAATTCTAAATATCTCCCTTAGTGGGAGATGTTCTCAATACACGGCAGTGGTGCTCTGTTGGTAGGGTCGTAGGGATGTGGGATTTGGGAACAGATTGTGGGTAGCATGAGACAGTATAAATATAACAAGGAAAAGAAAAGGATTAGCTGGGCATTACACTAGCCAGACATACTAGGGCACATGGGAAAGCCTACAATTTGAAGGTATTAAATTGCTCAACTACAGAATCCAAAATAGAATTGTCAAAGTTGCTACATTTTCTCATCACTTCGAGCGGGGCTATGTGCCATATGATTCATTTCTGTTTTCATATACCTCAAGTTAATGACTTTATGCTATTTAATTTGGTGAAATAGGTGAATGAAACCAATTCTCTCTGCCACATTATTTAGAACTAGTGTGAGGGAAAGTGTTAGCACAAGTGCAAGTAAAGGCTAAAGATAAAAGTTGAGGTTATACATTCAAATTTAACTTTTATGACCTGGATCAAAACCAAGGCAAGTATCCACTGATAAGAGCTTTTAATGACTCGGAATTGATGACAATTGGCAAGATTAAGACATGTTGCTTACTAGTGATATGCTATAAATATTTAATATACTAAGGACTCTGCAACTAGGGATCATTCTGGAGCAGGTCATAGCTCTAAGGCAATGGCAAAGCAGCATGTGCAAGTCTAACAATCCCCAAATAGTTGTGCCGAAGTTTAGTTGGGTTGGTCTAGGACTAGCAGCATCATTCGTTTTCCCTATTTGATGTTTAACCATAGAATATCTCTAAAATTTTAATCAGATGAATTTCTTCCCACTACTGAAATTATTCTCCCTAATTTAAGGAACAAAATTCATACCGCAAAAAAAAAAAAAAAAAGAATAAGATACTGATTTTGAGGAAGATCAAAGATAAATCTTGCACCGCTGAGGTTCTAGGGTACGAGCTGATCTCAACAATAGAAGTAGGTCATGGCCACAAAGGGCCAGAGCCATTGGCAGGCCATTTACCGACAGGACTAGTAAATCCAATTTTCCACCAATCGTTTTCCCATACATATTTTTTTCTCAACACCATGGCCATCCAATTGAGACATGGTGCCAAAGGGAGTAGCCTCACCCCGCCTTCTCTCTCTCTCTCTCTACAATTATTCACTCTTCAATAATGATTCATGAGAATAGAAAAGGAGTATTGGTTTAGTTTAAACAAGCAACAAATAAAAAAAATGAAAACACATCCCACTCACCCCACGAAACAAAACGAGAAGCAGAAATGATTTCAAATAAGACTACAACCTTCCAAGGCAACTTTCTGAAAACGAMCGGCCATTATCCATTTCAACTTTCATTCCATTTTTTCAGAATATATTATAATTACATACACCAATGTGCCCATCCTCCCTTTTAGAGTGTCCCACCATCCACTATAAAAAAAAAGACAGTCCCCACCACAAAAGTATTCTGGTCATCCACCACTATGGCTCCCTCCTCCAGTGGGGGAAAAAAGGAGCACAAAAAAAGAAAAAGAGACGAGAAAGGAAAGAGCTTTGACACTCCTTCCCTTCATTCTAGACTGGCAGGACAAAAGAAGTGCCTCTAGTTTTTCTTTCTAGGCATGACATCAAATCCTGTTTGACAAAACTGAGAAAACAAAGGCAAAAGTGCAATTATGGTATCTGAGTTTGATTGCAATGCTGGGGGATTGTTACTTGTTATACCATTCCGAGTAGTGACAAGCACCGGGTGGGGTCAGAATCAGAGCATTAAGAGAGGTAGGACCTGGAACCATGTATGTGGGCAGTCGTCGATGGGCACATGCAAATATGCACCCCTTTTTGACATCTATGAAGGGGTGTTTGACTCGGGCTTCACAGCCGTTGGGGCCTCTGGTGGGTGCGCGTGGTAAATTGCAGTGGCCAGTGATATAGGCATGATGCAAAGTGCCTTGGATTGGAGAAATTGCATCGCAGCTCCAACATCTTCTTCCATGAGCTTTGCCACTTGCCTTTCTGTTCCGTCTGTTGACCATTTCTCCCATGCTCGTTGGCTGCTTCCGCCTTCACTGCCTTCTCCCTTTTCAAATTTTAATACGGAGAAAGAAGGAAAAAGAAAAAAAACAAGGTAAGAAGGGAAAATTAAGACAAGCAAATTTGCCGGTACATAGCTACTTGCATATTCAGTAGACAGATAATTAAACCCATATTAACGGGTGCATAGAAGTTGAATACAGACAAATAATTACCAAAAGATAAAAAAAAATTATAGCAAGACAGAATATTTACAAAACAATAAAAGAAGCGTTTAAATTTTGTTTGTAATTGCATTAAATGCGTAGAGATAATATCGCAAACATAGAACGGATGTGAACTAAAAGAAACACAGTCTTCCTACTTTATTACCTCAACTGAGGTTAGTGGGATGTCAGCTACAAGTTGTGCCACTGCACCAGCTCCTCCCAGTCTGCTCATGCTTAAAACCTGTTAATAAAGATAAATATGCAATAAGAATTAAAGATGATGAATTGAAAAAACAAGTTTCTGTTTTGATACAAAGAAGCATGCAGGGAATTTGACTCCAGTAACAAGGCTTTAAGACACTTGGGAGACTTGATCTTGTAACCTTTTATATACATCTGCCCTGAGGTCTTGGTGATGACAAAATGCTCTTTGGCATGAATAGGACATTATTCATGAACATTTGAGAAACAGAGCAAGAAAGAATTGACTATAAGCTCGCAGGTGCAACTTCAATTGTAGAGCATATAGCAGCATGCAAATGAAGTTGCATACTTGCAATGACTATTGACTGGTAACGTACGAACATGGTTTGTATAATTTGTTTGGAGAAATGCTGTCAGAATTGGTACAAATGGCTAACAGTTCGTCTGTGATTTGTTTTAACAAGTCTGAAGGAATTGTTCATATTTGAACTTTTGAAGTAATAGTTCCAAGCATATATTATATAGGAATAATGACATTTAACAGTAAGTTCAAAAGTGTATTCATCAAAAAAACAGTTAGTTCAAAAGTGTGACAAAGTTGTGGACTGAGAGATAAAAGATTTGAAAACATGTGCTCAAGGACATGGCCCATCGGAAAATGGAACAGTGAAATTGGATTTGATAACTAATGCCAAATGGTACCAGAAAGTCTTTGTAAATGGTGATGATGACAGTTGTCATCATGGAAGGAATTTATATGCAACTAGGGCACATATTGACCCTTTACCCTTATCAGAAGCATGGACCTAATATGGAATTTGATTATAATATCATACATGCCGTACCTTAACCTGGAGTCTGAGGAACTTCACATAATCCACAATTTCATCAAGCATGGCTGCCCTATCTGTCTGCACAAGGAAGAGTATAGCCTTCAATATATGAGAAAATGGAAATAACACTGCCATTCATTGCATTAAAATGTGCTCTCTGTTACTGATTTCTTTTACACAATAAGCTTTACATCAAAGAATAAAATATCTTGGTTTATGAGGACTTAATAAACAAACATAAATATGTACTTGACTACTTGTACTTTTTATTTATTTCATCTTATTGCATAAAAGTGTGACTTTGGAGTTACTGAACTACTATATCGATGAAGACAGTCAAGCACAAATTCTGGCCATTAATGCTAGTTTCTCATAAGGATGCTTAACACCTTGAGAAATTTGCAGTCACATCCGACACTCATTTAGACGTCTAAAGTAGTTTCTCTACTTCCCAAAATAACTAATTCAACTACTGCCATGACACAAAAGGCTTCCAGGTCTTGAACAATGAAACAGTCAACAATCAGAACATCTTTAGGTATAAAAAACTACAGTATTAGTCTCATCTGAAATTTAGTCAAGAAAGTTTTCCCATGTCCAATTTCTGATAACATGCTACAACATTATTGCACCCTTCAATTTTGGAATCTAACAACTAAAAACCTTCAGATGAACCTCCCTACTTCACCAAGTTGAGGAAATTCACATCTTCAAAATGTCCTCATAAAATAGTTTTCTGCCAAACCCCATCAAGTTTGGTCTCCAAATCAAAACTCATGTACCTACATGTCAAGGAACACTGAAAACTATTCTTGATTCCATCATTGATAAACACATACATATCTTTTTCTTTGATCAGTTAAACACATTAGAATTTTGAAGGTAAGGCATTTGGTGTTGCCTGTTGTACAATACATTTTTTTATCAGTACAATGAACAGATGAATCCTCCTTGTTTTAACCAAAACATAGTCCAACTGAACAACTAACTAATACAAACTGTATTACTCCAATGAGATTGCAGTTTTGCCTTCATTCACTAATGCTTGTCTTTTGGATTTGTTTCTGGAATTCATATCCAGAAAAATGTTAAAACATGCCTATAACATGATGGCTGTAAGGGGGACATAGAGTTGAGAGGACCGGGCACTACTTAGTGGAGTTGGCTTGGAACAATGTGTTTGGTTCTTTCATCTCCTTTTCCTACCCCTTCAATTGTTTTTGTAAGCCTAACAGCTTCATATAATTCTAATAAAATGTCTAGCTTCCAAACAAGTAGGCTCTCAAATCTTTTCATTCATTTTCTTTTCTTTTAAGAATGATTTTTATCTTTCTTTTCCTTTCTTTTTTACGGTCTTTAATATCATATCATTAACCACTCAAATTTGGAAAGTGTAGAGAAGAATCTAGCTAGCATCTTAAGTGAAAGGAAAAATATTTCTGTAACTAAAATTAAAACATAAAAAATCTGTCAGTGCAGTTGAAATGATAATAAGGAAACATAAAAGAAAATAATTTGGACACAATGGAATAAAAAGAGGAGGTAATAACCTTGTTTGAGCTAGGAACAAGTTCCTGCAAAGCCTTCATTCTTTCAGCTATCCTTTCTCTGCGTAACTATATCAAAGAAGAAAATGGTAAGCAATTGCACAATAGAATGGAAGAACACCTGGCTTCTGCTGTAAACTTTTAAAATATAATTATATTATTAGCTTTGTGGAGAGGTCTTCTAGTAAAGTTCTAAGGGAAAGTAACCACTTAAACATGAATATCTTGTTTCTTCATTTATGTCTACAGAATAAAATCTTTTAGCACCAATTTAATTATCTCTATTCGTATTCTTGAAAAACTTGGAAAACTTCAAGTGTCACAATTCTTAATTTGTACTAACCTGATAAGCTTATTGTTTATTAGATACAGCCAAAAGCAAATTATGTCACAGCGGTTCAGCATATTTTGCAAGTAAATTAAAAGCAGGTTATATGTTAACTAAAGGTATATTTTTGATCAGCAATTAAGATCAGTTTCTCAATCAAGTGGTGTCAAATTCTTGATTTCTCCTATCCGAATAGAGAGAGAGAGAGAGAGAGAGAGAGAGAGAGAGAGAGAGAGAGTCATAGTGAACCGCAATGGAACTCTTAGTTTAAATTCTTTTGATCAACTTCCATAATATCTAGGAATTATAGATACTGTCCCCAATGGGAAGGAATGCTATATTCTCATTTCCTAGAAGGTTACTAAAGTAAATCCTGCACCCTAGAAAAAGATTGATTGTGCCTCTTGTATGCATAATTCAGGCTTACCCTCTCAGCAATACTGTGAGGATCTGTAGCTTGCCCTCGTCTAGCCCTTACTCTTGGCCGGATGGCAGGCTGGTGTGGCACACTGGCAACTGTGCTTGCTGTGGGTTGGCCATGAAATGGCTGCACAAATTAAGCAAAGAGAAAGCGAACTTGCAATTCATCACCAACAAAATACAATGAAAAACAAATCAAAGAGAATCCATAGAAATCAAAAAGTATAAAGTTTTAGAACATTAAGCAGGGATGCCCAAAGAATGATATCACAGGTATTGTAATTTGCAAGAAACCAGGGGCACGTATGTATATAACCCTAATGACAAAAATACCCATGAAGCACTAAAAACATATGCAATTGCCCGTACGTGTATCTCTGAAGCACGTGCAAATGCATGGGACCCACGGTAACCTGACAACATTGTGTCAGAACTCAGAAGTGCCACTGTTCCTCAGTAAGACCAGCAAATGAAACGACTTGTGAATCAACAGAGACCCTTCGATTAAATTATCAGATCATGTGCCCCTAAGCTTGCTTTTCCCAGAAATGCCAGTGGCTTTATTGTCATTGGAAAAAATAAGGGCATTTCCGTCCGTAAAAAGTTACTCGATTCAAAAGAAGAAGGGCGATTTTTCACTAAACCTGGTGGACCTGAGGCGCAGCAGGCCGAACTTGGTGTGGCTGTACATGTCCAAACGCCGGAAACAGATTCGTCAAATGCACGGAATCTCTATCCTGCACAACACAGAACTTAGAGAGAGAAAAACTAATTGCCCTCCACATCCACCAAATTCACAAATTGCCCCTATGTTCAGGAAATTTCTCGTGAATATACAGGAAAATTCTTCTAACACTTTTCCATTTTTACCCCCTTGGCTTGGAATTTCCCTAGTTCCATTCTTCCAACCGAAAAGAATAATTAAACAGGTTTCTGAAGAATTAAATATCATGATAGATTAATGATCTCGTGATTAACACGATAACTTCAACCGAAATTCTAACACCAGTTTCCGGCTACTCCGCCGGGCGCCGGTAAAATGCAACATGAAACCACAGATATCATTCTTCCTTCTACTTGTAAGAGCAACTTTTATCTCAATTTAATGGTTACCCTTCAACAAACAGAAAATTGATCGAATTCCCAATAAAGGAAGCAAAACATTGACAGGCGAACAACTGAACATGCGTGTCAACCGTCAATGACGGGCCGTGATTTGAACAGAAAGGAAATAAAGTAAACGCAAACAGAGAGAGAAGTTCTTACGTTTTTTCCAGAAGAAGCTTTTCCGTCAACCTCCTCCCGAAACCGCTTACCACTTCCCGATGCCTCCTCCGGCTTCACAAAACCGCTTTTCGCCTGCTCCAAGCTCAATCCCAGAGGGAAAACGGTTCCCTGGAACCCACTTCCGGCAACATGACCAGACCCGTCGCCGGAGCTAAGTTGCAGAACCATCGAACCGGCAGTTCCCGCCAAATTCCCGTCATTTCCCACCAAAGTAGAGTCGTTTCCCGTGTAAGGAATTGAGAGGATCTGTTCGAAGAAATCGTCACCTAGGCCTTCGGGCGGGTTATTAGCCATGCCAGAGACTGCGAAGAAAAGATTTCCGGTGAGAGTGTTAAGAAAGGGAAAGGAGTAGATGTGCTAATGGTTATAAAGAAGAGCATCTACAGTGATTGGGGAGATTGAGAAAACACAAAAGCGAGGTTGTCGGCGAAACGGGTTACAGATCCCTCGCCCGATAAGCCGGAGAAATTTGGGGCTTCGAGGGATTCTTATTTAAAGACTCAAAAAAAAGAGGGAAACCAACAGAGACAGAAAGCTTTTATGAGAGAGAGAGAGAGAGAGAGAGAGAGAGAGAGGAGCAGCAGCTGGTGGTGAGACTGTGAGTAAGCAAATTTCTGACATCGTTTCATGCGCTTTTAAGAGAGAACGAAAGGAGAGGAATCGAAAAGCGGATTTTTTGGGGTTAAAATCGTAATAAGATATATCATACAGAAGAATAATTCTAGAAACAACGAGTTTGTGCAACTCTTTGGATACACGCCCAACAGACATGGTGAAGGTGGGACCCACTGTCTATAGGGCGAGTTTTTCGAGAGTTGCACAAACTCGGTTGCTAGATTTCCTCTTGAAGAAAACTACGAACCATGCCTCTGCCTTTTCCAGCGGTGTTTGTTTGGTTAGGTGGGGGTAGATTTGGGGTGAGTGGAAATTTGAAAACTGGAAATGGAGAGCAATTACCCCGGAATTCCTTTTCAGTTTCTGGTGTTTGTTAGCTGGGGGATGAATGAATCTGATCCGAGAAACGGACGGGGTTCGGTTTAGTCCACCGATTTGGTGTATTTGAAATTCTTATTTGGGTGGATAATGGATTTGAAATCCGTAAAAAGAAAGTGGGAGTAATTTTAAGATTCCACTCATGGGTAATATTCGGAAACCTGCAGATGAATTCATCTTCATCTTTTGCAGGAGGTCATGCCAAGTTGCAAATGAATCTGTCATTTCGATGGGTCCTACCCTTACCAAATACCATGATTCCTTGATCCAGATCTTGATTCAGCCAGTGGGTCCCCCTTGATTCTAATCCAACATTCCAACTCAAGTAATTCCCTTAAATAAAGCATTTGTATAGACTTGAATTTGAAATTATTAAGCGGTTTATGGTCGRATTTTATAAGTTTATTCACTTCCCACCAAAATCCAAATCATTGCTACAGTGATCGTTTGGATAAGCTTTCATGCTTTTACTGCCAAAGAAGAAATTATTATAAAGCTTCATAAAAGTGTTTTATTGAAAGCTTTTAGTTCCATTTGTTTTATAAAGGGATGGGAATTTTTTCAGACCCACCTACAATTTTACTTCCATTCACAGTAAAAACTTTATTTTCCGCCCCTTTAGGATAAAAGAAATGCACCCATGTGAAAATTAACAAAAAAAGCAACATGGGGAATGTGCTTTTCAAAAACAAAAAAATAACTTTTTTTTTCTGCTTTCTTGCAAAGTAAAAACTAGAAAGAAAAAAAAAAACATCTAAAGCTTATCCAAAATCTGAAAGTCATTTCCTCGTTTTGCTTTTCTGCTACCCCCAACAAAAAGCATTTTTCAAGTGCTTATCAAAAAGACCTTAAGCTTAAGGCTTGTGCAGTTCCAACCAAGCCACAAGAAAAAGAAAGGTTTTAGAATCATTACATACAAATCATGCAAATTATATGGCAAAAATGCATATGTTCAGATAGATTAGTGGTAAATAGGATCAGAATTGAAATTATAGAAATTAGGAATAACTCCAATATTTGATATAATGAGAGAAAGTAAACTGAGATAATTGATCATGTATATAGAGGACCATACAACACCTGATCTGTTACAAGTTGAAGGGATTATAAGAATTAGGAATAAACGGAAAAAGACTTTGGTGAATAGTAAAAAATAATTTAAACACTCATAATTTAACAATGAATATAACACTAAACAGAATGGAATAACAGAACATGATCCATGTAGCAAACCCCTTGAGACAAGACTTAGATGACGGAGATGATGACGTTCAAATCACACAAAAATATCTGTGAAGTTATAGTGCTCAAGTTGAAAGCTGATGAACTTTTTGTTTTTAGCACTTGCTTATGTTACTTGTGGTGTAGCAATCACAGGTGGGCTCGTGGGCTCATAACTGTGCTCCCTACAGTGCAGAGTCCCATTAACGAGGCAATCACACCCAAATTCTTAAGCCGAAATCATTTCAAATCCAGATTTTCCCTCTGCTTTTTAAGGTATTCTGCTAACAATATAATCACTCAGTTGACGAACTTGTTGTTTCACTTGTCAGGAGACCCGATATCCAAGAGGATCCATTTCCCTACCCATTCTAATGGCCTAATCATAACTTAGTTGACCACCAAGTTTTTTCGGTTAATCTAATTTGCACGAATGGTGGGCTAGTTAGCCCTCGATTAAGCCCAGAAGATTGGGGGCTTGGGCTAGAGACAGCCGCTACCAGGCCCAAAAAGAACGGTGGAGTGGATAAAGTAAAATAGATCAGAGGTTGAAAATGTGGAACATTAGGAGACAACGTTGTTGAAAAATCAATCCACACTCACGCCCAACAAATCAGATGAAGGTCTGCTAGGAAATCGAGTGCGTATGTCTAGGCAAGTAGGCAAGATAAAGTTGGATACAGACAGGAGCCCGGACTCAGGAGGTGTCAATGGCTCAACGGGTACCCCCATTTTCCAACCCCAATTCGTAGGAATTGGGTCGGTTGGGTCCATAATTTATTCCCTTCTATCCCCACTTAGGAATTTAATCTTCATTGGATTGCAAGGTGGGTATCCAAGACAACATACAAGCTTGTACTTCAAGAACTTCTTTTGGGGTGAGATTGATTTATGTGGCTCTAGATTTCTGTCTTTTCAAAATTCAGAATCTATTGGTTGAACCCAGAAAACCCAAGAATAAATAGTAGACTCCTTCAGCCCAAAACTAGCCAGCTGGAGCTGTTTCTACTTTCTACCCTAGATTGGACTATGGACTTTCATCCAAAAGTGCTTCCTTCAATTCTGGGTTGTCTCAGTTGGGCTTCCAATGTTTCCTCTGAATTCTGGGTTGCCCTTCCTCTGCTCCAGTTATCATCTCATTACCAGTTCTAACTTCTAGCTACTACATGATATGCCCTAGATTTGACATATTTTTTAATAGTGGTCCCTTTGCAACCAGAGTTGCACCATCCATTTGGTGGAGGTTCCACCATTTTTGGTGGCAGAGGATCCACTATCATGAGCTCTAGAGGAACCATTAAAAATTCCTTCGAGAATACTTATTTTATTTTAGAATACATTGTCTCCTAGCTTCCATACTCCATATCTCATAACTGGTGGGAAAAAAAGTTGTCACTCTTTCATCATGACTAAAAAAGCCATTGGTGAGGCAAACAGATCATTAGATACTTAAAACAGCCAGGCAAAAGAATAGACAAGAGACACTCTGTTGTCTCCTTGTATGAGCATTGAAAGGTCATTTATAATTTGATACTGCACCGAGGCAAGAGGCAATGGTCAATTGGTCATGGCCGGTTCTAATTTATGGATACAATAGGCCATGGGTAGGCTACATGTAACACACTTTGGGCACCTATCCAGCAACCTGAATTTATTTCCTTTACCTGATCGAGTGAGATGATCCAAACCAAACTAAAGCTGCAAATGGAACGGATTGAATCAGGTATGCCTGGATATAAATTTGATTTGTTAATACTCAGATTCAAAACTTAACCATTGGATTCATATGATCATATTCAGATATTGACTAGCTTTAGGGTTTGACTATGATGCTGGAAAGACATTATATGATTATATTGGAAAACTTTATAACCAATCAACCAGCATCATAAAAGTAGTAACCAATGAAGTGGGTTTTCATCAAAGTGCAAATATAAGGTTTAGAAATAATACAAATATAAGGTGTGCCCTTTAAGGTTCCATTTGGAAGGAGTACAAATACAATTATGTACAGTACAAATAGATAGAAAATAATAGAAAATATAAGGTTTTACGCTCTAGATATTTGTCTTTGTATTCCTTCCAAACTGAGCCTTAGGCTGTGTTTAGTTGCAGTGCAAATTTATTTGCACTAGTACAAATGCATGGGAGTGCAAATGTAAAAAATGCAAATTCTTATTTAATTTTGTTTTGGATTTTATTTTATTCTGCTTTATGTCTTAATTTACTTCATTTGTACTATAATCAAACAAAATAAGTTAAAATTTGAAACAAAAATAAGTCAGAATTTATACTCAAATCATTTGCACTGCTATGATTTTGCATCAGTGCAAATTTATTTGCATTGCAATCAAACACAGCCTTAAGCTCAATTTAGAAAAAAGTGCAAATACAAATATGAAAAATGCAAATTGAACGAATTTGTATTCGCTCTCTCCCCAAACTGTACAAATACCAATATATAGAGTGTAAAACCTTATTTTATATGTATTTGCACTGTAAAACTCTTTCCAAACTGAGTCTTAGTTTAAGCACAACGCAGTAATACCTGAATTGATGATCAATCCAGTGCAAGTCTGACAACATCTCCAATTATGGATATGAGTTGGTGCCCTTTCTATGTCGGATCCTATACATAATCCATAGTGACCTCGTTCCATAACAAAGTCCAATCATCTTGTGCTTAGCACAGTTCTTTTCGAAAGAGACAACTGGAACGAACAAACCCTTTCAGTAAGGCTACACTGGCAAAGTTTCAATTTCGTTGAAAATATTTCGATCACATTTCGGTAAAAAATTTCAAGCAGTAGTTACCTCACCCACTTTCTAAGTAGCACATTTCCATGCAACAATCCTCTACCGCGTGACAAAATAAGAGCTTTGTTCATTTCAAAATTAACGAGAAAACAGCTACAAATGTCTTTTCAGATTGAAAAGGTTTTAACCCGTTTGAGGGTGAATAAAAAATGGAGCCTTCAGCTTTGGCATTTCTCCTGTGCCAAGCAGACTGAAATTTATAAAGGGTAAATTACAAATACCCCTCCCTATACTTTAATTTGCGACAAAGGCCCCTAACTTTAGTCGTTAG